TGTACACACATCCATTAACTAACAACCACGGGTATGAATATCTGTACACACATCCATTAACTAACACCCACGGATATGAATATCTGTACACACATCCATTAACTAACAACCACGGATATGAATAACTGTACACACATCCAATTACTAACAACCACGAATATGAATATCTGTACACACATCCATTAACTAACAACCACGAATATGAATATCTGTACACACATTCATTAACTAACAACCACGGATATGAATATCTGTACACACATCCATTAACTGACAACCACGTATACGAATATCTGTACACACATCCACTAACTAACAACCACGGAAATGAATATCTGTACACACATACATTAAGTAACAACCACGGATATGAATACCTGTACACACATACATTAACTAACAGCCACGGATATGAATATTTGTACACATATACATTAACAGGCGTACTACATGCATACAGAAGGACATACACTCTCAACAACAGCCACATCTCACATGCATGTGCGTGTAGGCCACTACCCGCACACGCGTGCTTGCATGCATGCATGCATGGATACGGAAACGGGCGTGCATATAGGTACCGCTAGAGAACAGACTCTCACACGTGGAGACGCGCAGGACAGTCTCGCCGTACACGCAAGACTGTCTAACCGACACACATAGGCACTTGTCGTGTGCACAAGGTTACACTGCATACACACTTGTCGTGTGCACAAGGTTACACCGAAGGACTACACTATACAACCATAACCAGACCACCACACCTGTGCCACGGTTGTAGACTGGGTATGACACAGCGGGTGAAGACGTATAGGCTAATTGTTGACTGAGTAAGTATAGGCTATCTGTTGACTGAGTAGGTATAGGCTATCTGTTGGCTGAGTAGGTATAGGCTATCTGTTGACTGAGTAGGTATAGGCTATCTGTTGACTGAGTAGATATATGCTATCTGTTGACTGAGTGGGTATAGGCTATCTGTTGACTGAGTGGGTATAGGCTATCTGTTGACTGAGTAGAGGTGTGTAGTTGCACGCACCTGATGAATTGGACCAGATCGACAGGAGGAAGACATACGGACGCCTTCTCTTTCACACACATACACGCACACAGGTTAATGAACAGATTCACATATGCACATATACATGCCTTTATGCAACATCTGTAGAAGATTGCATGCAAGCTCACATGCACACGCACACGCACACGCACACGCACACGCACACGCACACGCATACAGGTACATGCACGGATTCACACATGAGCACATACATACCTTTATGCAACATCTGTAGCAGGTTGCATGCAAGCTCACACGCACACGCATACGCACACGCATACAGGTACATGCACGGATTCACACATGAGCACATACATACCTTTATGCAACATCTGTAGCAGGTTGCATGCAATCTTGAAGAACGCCCCACTCTCCCAGCTGATGGGAATCAGACAACTGGCTCTATTCTCCTGCAATAGAAAGGGAAGGTTGAGTGTTGTAAACACGTCAAATTGAAAGTAAATACATCAAGACTTACATATGTTTATGTATATATCTAATTTCGTATCGTGCAAATGCATATATATACATATATATATATGTGTGTGTGTGTGTGTTTAGATATATATATATTTTTGAGTTTATATATATATATATATATATATATTTATATATGTATATGTATATATATATATATATATATATATA